AGTTTGGATTTACAAGGTTCTTTCTGACCTATGGAAACAATTTTAAGTTATCAAACACACTGATATAGTGGTAAAAGAGAATTTTATTGCATTTACATTGTAAAGAAATATGAATCTTTTGATTATCATTTATGGTCAGTCTCTGAAAACATTGCCTTTCACACTGAACCTTGTGATTTTAAGCCCAAAGGTCTCCATTCTAAGTGTCTCATTCTCTTTCCTCTCTTTTGGTGTCCACAGTTGAAAAACCTGTCATTCTGGTGTTGATGCACCACAGACGTGACGCCGGGAGCACTAACTATGGGAGAACATGGGATACCCCAAATGTTGTGCTGTGCGTCAGTGTTTTCTACCATGAGACAATAAATGGATTAGTGAACTGTGACGAAAATAAGGCGGCTCTCGCTCAGATACGAATGAAATTAATGGAGTACAAGACAGAAGTAAAGATACCAATGGAAATGGATGGTTCAAGTAGTAGGTTTTGGTGGTAACACCAGGGCTTCAGGTGGTGAGAGAAGAGGCTTTAAATTCTGGTAAAGTACTGCATATTAAATCCTGGCCCACAGTATCATTAGCATAATAATGGCATTATGTGAGTTGTAAGTGAGTATGTAAGTTAAAGAAAGGAATCGATTGCAGCACCTGCAGCATCAAAAACTAGAAATGTTGAGAAAACAAATAAGGCATAAATGGATACGAGTATAAATGTAAAATGTTAAGAGTAGAGGGTGCTATTACTTACAGTAATAAATGATTTTCATATCTGCTGTTAAATTTCTATAGCTTGTAGAGTGTCTTTGTAAGTGCAACCAATCAGCACATTGTTTAATATCAATCCAAATATGAGTCAGACATGTTAATGGGGAAAAGCTGATTTTGCCATTGCTGCAAGTGCTTTTAAAACGTTTTGTTCATTTAGAAAAGACAATCCAACCAATCCAGACTGTGCCTGAAAGATAATAGATTTGATAAGTGATAAGATAATCTTTAGTAACCCTTTTTGTGGAGCATATTGCATTGTGCATTTGAACTGTAATTGAGCATCAAATTCTCAGTGCATTTAAGTTTACAGCTGGTTTAAAATAAGCCCAAACGTAAGCAAGGCTATATACTGCTGATTATGTGCAATTAATGTGCAGTGGAGCTGTGTAGCAATTTGATTGTTGTTATTTTTTAGGGGGGAAGGAATGGTCAATAAGCCAATGCACCAGTGTAATGAATCCAACTACTTGATTTAAGGAAGCATTTCTTGTTACACTAATATTACTATGTCTTTAGTTTCTCTATGTATTATAGTAAGACTTAAATGTACAGTAAGAGATTAAAGAGTGCAGAATTCCCAAGTTCAGTGACCTGCAAACTTTGTGTATTGCCCTAGGATATTCAGATAAATAAATAGATACACAACTAAAGGATAAATATGAGGGTAGATAAAAGTACACAAATAGAATATTGACTTTTGTCTTTAATGTACATGTTTCTATAGCCACGTATAAATTGTCTCAAATGTAATATCTGTGATTACTATGCATGATACTTTCAATAAATTACAAATATGACCGATCACAATGTTTGTTATTCTTTAATTATTAGCTAATAAATATTCTTTAAAGGTATAATATGATTGGCAATATACCATACTTCACACCGATTCTATCAAAAATTACTTTTAAAAACGTTATTAACACAAACTTTTTGTCACTGACTTCTGAAAAGTTGGCACAGTTCACCTCATTGGACATAATGTGTACTATATTTACATACAGTATTTTGTATGTGGAAAAAATTTACGCCTATATTACAATGATATTTGTTAACCTTACACATGTAGGGTCTGAGTTGTAAAGGTGTAGAAGATGGATATGAAGTTTATCATGGTGAGTGTTGAATCTGTTTAAACAATGAAGTGATTTCACTTATTAGATAAATATATATTTAGCGGCACGCTTAACTGAACATATATTTGCGTCACATACATTGTGCAAAAAATGTTTTAGTATTGTGCTCGTTGTTTTTATTTTGAAAAGAAAAGCCATTTTATAAAAAATTAAAAAAAACCAGACCGGAAGTTTGACATTGTTTACTAACAAGCAGCTTCCGGTTGGGACTCCAAATAAGCGCATGTCGTTCGGAGTCTTATTTTCTGTTGTTTATTATCACTGTTTCTTGACAAATAATGTTTTTGTACCAACAACATAATTCAACGTTACCAAGGTGATATTCCGGTTGGTTTAGCAGTACTACCGTTACTCCTTTAGAGACAGCGGGCTACCGGTTAGCCAACTAGCTCAACAGATGTTTTTCAGCACGATAACAAGAAGGAAAGTCTATCTCCAATTACTCATCGGGGTAGCTATAGTTAGCTCCAACAGCTCTCCAGTATTCAGCTTTTAACGTTAGCTGCAGTTTGTATGTCATGCTCCTCGGCCGCGTCTTGTTGAACCTCAGGTCGACGTGTTCAGAAAGTGTGTATTTAACGTTAAAGAGAATTTTTGCTGTCAATGAGCCATCAGTTTGGAGACTACATTCCACCAGTCACCGAAAAAATATTAGCGCGCTTAAGCCACCTGTACACCGGTTCGGATTTAAGGTAAAAATTATTTTTAAAACGTTTACCTCAGTTTACAAAAATTATAATACTGCCATCTGGTAACATCATTCCTTTCTGTTCCAGTTTATAGCACAGTCCTGTCTTTTTCAGCTAACAGTGCATGATATGCGGGCAGCCAGTAGCTCCTATGGCAAAGAGACCACTGCCCTTGCCTTAGATGATGATGATCAGGAGAAGGAGGGTGGTGGTGGTGGTGATGATGAAGGTGTGGTTGGACAGGACAGTGAGATAGAGGATGAGAAATCGAAGAACATAATAATGTCTCCAAGCCAGGTGGATGCAGTCAGCACTGAGGTCCAGCAAGAGGTGGCTGGCACTGGAGTCTTCTCTGTGTCTAGTGAGTAGTGACTGTTTGAGATAATGACTGAATTGGCTAAATATGCAGGACAGTACTGGCTGAACTCATACAAAACAAAACAAAAAAACCCCACAACTGATACAGTGCCATTTGTGCTAGTTCGAGATTGTTTCCACATAGTTTAAATTCAGCATCAGCACCTGCTGCTTATGTGTAAAACAAGTTGTCAGCTGTGCCAACAGCTTGGTAACCACACCTTTCACATGGCTACTCCAATCATCTGTCACTGTGTATCAAAAATGTATATGATGATATCTATATTGTAATGTAAGTTTTCTGGAAAGTCACCCCAAAACAGACATGAATATCTGTTTTTGGCTTATACAGAAAACTCAATACAAATAACATTTAAAAAAAAATCTAGTTTCTTCATCATATTGAAAAAAATCCACCATGACCATAGTGCAGTCATTTTCATTGATTTGTATATTACCCAGAGTGCTGTCAAAGACCCATAGATTTTAACTAAAGAATGGTATGGTATGTCTTAATGTGTAGCATGCTGACTTCAGAGTTGTCTACCTTTGTTGAACATATCAATCAGTATTATAGTAGTATTAAGGGCTGGCCACTGACCTGTGCAGAAGGTTTACTGTACGTTTGTTGTATTTTTTTTGTATTTTTCCATAGCAGCTCCTACAGTATCAAATGAGAAGAAGACTAAGAGGAAGATAAGGAGGGAAAAGAGAAAGTTGATGAAGAAAAAACTCAAGTCATCCGATACTTCGGACAATTTAATGTCAGAGCTCCCATTTGCTTTGACAAGCCCCACCTCATGGAAGGAGCTAGGATGTATGTACATTCTTAATATGTCTTTAATGATTATTTAAATTACATGTTAGGTTTGTTTTAAAACTAGAGGATGAAAAGTGCATGTCTGATTTACTGCCCAATAAAGTTGTGCTACAACCTCATGGCTGAGAGAGGGTGAACAGCTCTCACTGTTATTGACTATGTGATTGATTCTAGTTTCAGTTACCGGTATTTAAAGTTTTTAGGTGTAACCCTTATCTGCCCATCCTCTGTAGTCCCCAACCCCGAGCTATCCCAGAAGAAGAGGAAGAGAGGAGATTGTGGAGGGCGAGTGGACAGTGAGGAGGATGGAGACAAGAAGAAAATAAAGAAACAGAGCCAGCGGCCTAACTATTTTGTATCCATCCCCATCACTAACACACAGGTAAGGAAGTACTTTACCTCTCACAACTCCTAATAAGATCTGACTGTGAATGTTTAACCTAATTTATTGTAGAATTGTACATACGTTTATTATAGTTTTTGCTAACTCATTAATACCCTTAAAGGACCATGCAAATGGTTTTGCACAGTCCAGTAAATCCTGTGTGTTTATAATTTACATAGCTCCTATGAAAAGGCGATTGCACTTTGTACCAAATGACTATTGTACTGTATCACACACATCGCTGCTGCAGTCCACATCATAATGTTTTTGCTACCAGGAATAGGACATTTTGAAAGCACAATTGGACAAGCTGGGGTGAGGCAGTGATGCTGTGGATAAATTTCCATCTTGATTTCAGCTTTTACCTGAATTACTGTTCATTACACACTTTTTTTTTAAACATTTCACATTTTCCTACCCATATTTTCGGCTAAAATAAGACCTTCCAGACCCAGCTGTGCTTTCAGCTACATAACATGATTTTGTCCAAAAACCTAAACCCAACACCATTTTCAAAAATAATGGGAGCATAAATTGGGCCTTTTTCGTGTTTCAGTAAGAGTGACAGTAGTGTTGCTATCCTCACCTGACCAGCTGCTTACCTTACTTTCGGATTGGTGTTCTTTGTTTTTATGAAGCCGATAAAATAATTGAGTATTGATCAATTCAGTGTTTGCTTAGTTAAACTAATCTAGTTGTTGGAAGGAGTGGAGTGGAGGCGAAGGATGAGAGTGAGCGATCACTTACGTGTAACATGCATGTGACAGTATCTGCCTTACTGTAACTCGTCCTCGCTAATGACTGAAATCATATTTGTCCAAC